GTTCAAAGGCCCCTGACAGTCCTCCCCGCGGCCAGCACCACAATTAGACCCAGAAGAAAGGCCCCCCCTCAGCCTGGGACCCCCAGACCAGGCGCTCCCCTTGCTGTGCCCTCCTGTGGAGCAAACGCCCCAGGCCGAGGCTGGTCAGCTGCTCCGGAGGCCACCTCGCTCTCCTCCCACTGCCCCTCCCTCCCAGGGCCCACAGGTGCCTGCACAGCTGGCCTTGTTCTGAAGGGAGGGGTGCGTGTCCTGACACCAGTTATCTGCCCCTCCCTGGTGGGTTATGTTGGTGGGGTTCAGACCCCTCTCTGGCAGCCCCCACTGTGGAAACTGAGGCTGCCTGCTGCAGGTGGGCGGGGGGTTGGGGGCCCTGAGGGCCGAGCGAGGGCACTTGCCTCCCAGCACCCCTGGAGAGGTGCACGTGTGAGGGCTCAGCCCAGCCCCTCAGAGGCGAAGCAGTGCCAAAGGCTGAGGACCTAGGCCCGGCGTTCTCGGACAGGCCCTTCTCCATACTTCCTCACTGGTTGGCCAGGTGGTGCCAGGACAGGCAGGCGCCACCCACTGTCCGGGTGGAGAAACCAAAGCACCGTCTTGGGTGATCTCAGCCTCACTCAGTCCTCTCCAGGGCATTTTGATGCCCCGGGGAAGCTCCATGGTCACACACACACCACTAACTCCACTGGGCTCATACGGGGGTGCCTGGCAGCTGTCCAGGGGCCTGAGAGCCACAGGTGTCTATGGGCGGGTGTTTTTCAGAGGCTGGAGGACACTGTCCTGAGCCCCACGGCCAGGAAAGAAGACCGGGCACTGACCGTGCGTGGGGAAGGCTGGCGGGCCTCACCCACCCCCCTGCCTGCCCGAATCCGTGAGATCGTGGCCGGCAGCCTGGGCGAAGAGCCACCCCAAGGTGAATGGAGGTGGTGGGGGAGGTGGTGGGGGTTAGGGGACACCAGGGGAGCTGCTCAGCCAACGGCTGGAGTCCAGCTTCAGGGGGCCGAGCCCCCGCTGTCCCTGACAGGCCCCTGCTGGCCTGTCACCTTCCTGTGTGAAGGGCCACAGAGCCATGCCCTCCAACAGGGTGGCCCAGGGGGTCCTGTGTCCATACTCACTGTCCTCACTGCTAGGCCACAGGGACCTTCCCAGGCCAGCACTGCCTTTGTTTGTGACACATCTGTGACCATCAGCCGCGGTTCCACCCGCATTTGTTTCTCATTAGATGAGGGAAAGCCCTTAGGGTTGCCACTCAGGAAACAGATGCTGATCAGCCCCCTGCCCCACTCCTAGAGCTGTGCTCACCCAGCCCCCAGGCCCCCTTGAGGCGCCTCCCCGTTGCCTCGCTTTTCAACCGAGGAGCTGGCTTCTGACCTCAGAGTGTGCTCATAACTCCGAGCCAGCCTGACGCCCCCTGTGTGGGTTGCAGGACCCCTCGTACTGAGGGTCCGTGTGCCCCCTGAAGGAACCGGGAGCTCGCTGTGTGTTAAGGAAAGAGAAGCCCCATGTGTGGTTAGAAAAGCAACTCTTTACTTGGGGATGGGATCCGGTTACACTGAATCAGCAGTTCCCACCACTTCCCAGGGCCGGGGCGCCCCCACTCCGCTGTGATTGGTTTGGGGATCACCCTGGGCATGGGTCTGTTTTGGGGGTAAGGATGTTGATAAAAGGCAGGGAAGCAGGAGAAGGCCCCCTGACCGGCGAGCAGGCGAAGCCCAGAGCGTGGAGTCTGCCTCCCCCACATCCAGTCCCGGGGTCAGACCAGCCGGCAGTGCTACCCTGAGGCCAGGGCCGTGGCTGCAGTGGGGGCCTGGGTTGGCCCCCCTGCGGACCCCGGTGCCTCCTACAGGGCTGCGGGAGCTGCCAGGCGCCTCGGCACAGGTGCAGGAGGAGAGGGAGCTCCTGCAGGAAGAGCTGTCCCGGCTGGAGGGCCTGCTGGCCCAGGTGGGCACCGAGCGGGATGAGCTGGCCAGCAGATACCACGCGGTCAGTGAGCGGGTAAGTGGCAGGCCAGAGGGTGGCAGGCAGGCCCAGGGTGAGGTGGTGACTGGCAGTTGGACCAGTGGAACCGTCAGCAAGTCTCAGGATGTGCGTCAGCCACAGAGTCCAAACCCTGGACAACAATGAGGAAACTGAGGCTGAGGTGGAAGGTAAGGGCAGGATGGTGCCAGGCCACCCCTGGCTCACAGCCCAGCAAAGGCATTGACTTGTGCCAGCCTGCCTGGGAGCCCTGCAGGTCCGCCTGGTCAGTCCTGACCATTGGCCCAGCACCAGCCCTCAGCCAGCACCTGCCCGAGCAGGGAGGGCCGCAAGCAGTCGGCAAGGGAAAGGAATTGGCCCCAACCCTCAGGCCTAGCTTGTGGAGAACTGGCTCCACCCCCAGCCCCACCCCTTCCTGACAGCCGAGGACCAGCTGTGACCCTCCTCCTGGGTCATCCTTGCTCTGTACCTTCCAGAGTGACCAGCAAGCTGCAGCAGGAGGCCTAGTTGGTCATAAGGTGTGAGGTGGGGGGGCCTCCCATTATATGTGGGGAAACCGAGGCAGAGAGGTGAAAACACTTGCTCAGAGCCTCTTTCCTGTATCTGCCACCCAGGCATGACAGCTTCTGAGGCAAGACTGGATGAGGGGGGGCCGGGCCAACAGTGTTGGGGGCTCAGAGGCCCTGCTGGGTCAGCCCAGCCCTGCCTTTGCTGTGTTCAGATCCCCCTTGCTCCATGTGGCAGGACAGATGACCCCACTCTCCAGATGAGCAAACAGAGGCTCATAGCAGCCAGAGTGCCCAGGGCCCTGTTGCCATTACTGGGGCTGAGCCCACCACCGGTGACAGTGCCCTGTGCCAAGTGCCTGAGGGCCCCAGGGTGGGGTGCCCTTCGCCCCAACTCCCACACTGTGGACACCCATTCTCATGGTTGCCTGCAACCCCAGGGAGCCTGGGGCAGGGCTGTGAGGTGAGGGTCCTTCCCATGGGGTTCGGGGCAGAAGCCCTCAGAGGCGCTCCATGAACTGCACGCCCTCCCAGGGCCTTCTGGGGCCCACTGGTGTGGGGGAGGGGGTGTTCCTAGCACAGGGTGGGGAGATGTTGGGAACTGGCCAGTGGGAATAGAGGCCACAGAAATCCTGCGGACAGATCAGTAAACCTCATGAGTCAGACCTGAACTCCCAGGCCCAGCAGCTCGGCACACGCCCGGCTCCCTTGTTCTGCACCAGAGAGGCAGAGCCTCCCACAAGTTCCCCAGGCGAGTGGGGGTCAGGGTGGACAGCGAGACTGCTTCCTGATGCCTCCAACCCCCGTGGCAGCCCCAGCCCCTGGATCCACCTGGGACCTCTACCCCCTCCTCTCTCATCTGGCTGGTGCTGAGGAGGGGACACTTGCCTTCCCGCGCCCCTGGCCCTGCGTCCCCAGCCTCTGGCTCTCCTGACCTTCTTACCTCCCAGCCCCCCACCAGCCTGCCTGCAGGCCTGAGTCCCCTCCCCTGACACCCTAGAGTGTGCTCTGAGTCAGCACATCTGAGGGGACTGGTACCTCCTTTCTCCTAAGAGCCCCAGGGCCCCCATCTGCTCAGGCTCTGGGGCAGGCCTGGTCCCACATGGGGGGTGTGGTTCCCGCCCACCTGCTGGAGTTCTGAGCATAGGAGGAGCATCTGGAGGGTGGGACCCCATACTCATTCCCTGTCACCGAGGATGACCCCAGGGCTTCTCTGCAGCTGGCTGTCCTGCCCCCTAAGTGGCCGATCCAGACCCTGGAGGCCACCCCCTAAACTGGCTGCACACCCTTGATGCAGGGGCAGGGTGCAGACGCCCACCCATCTGACCCATCGTGTGGAGGAGCCTGAGCTTCTCCAGACCCACACCCAGCTTGACCCCAGCCCCTTGGGAGGGCTTTATACTGAAGCTGTCCCTTGGACTAATGTTCCTCTCAGCTGCAGGCCCGGCTGCAGACCACAGAGGCCCGGCTGCGGAGGTCAGAGCTGGAGCACAGCGTGGACCTGGAAGAGGCCCTGGGCCGTTTGGAGGCTGCAGAGCAGAGGTGAAGCCAGGCGGGCACAGCAGTCAGGGCTGCAGGGAGCTCGGCCATCACCCCGAGAGGCAATGGACCCCACTGTGCCTTGGGGCTGTGGGCCAACCTCTTCCCAAGGTGGCTCTAAGTCGAATTCGCCTGTAGGAGTCAGCTGCAGGCTTCGGGGCTGCTGGGGGGACCAGCGGGGGACTGAGGGGGCAGAGCAGGGTGGGGACCAACCCTGCATGGCCTCAGGTGTGGGGTGCAGGTCCCACAGGCCATGAGGGTCTCCCTGGCCCTATACCTAAGTATGTCCCAGGCCTGAGCCCTCAGTGTCTCCACCTGCAGCCCTGGGGGAGGGTCAGGCGTGGAATTTTTCTACTTCCAGCACTCGCCCATCCTTGGGGACTGGACAGGGAGGAGAGTGCTGGGAAGCCGGTTGAAAACTAGTTTTGAGGGGGAATTACTGAGTGGAGGCTCACGCCCCAGGAGCAGAGAATGTCCTGCTGTGGCCTTGCTGCCTGGCGGGGAGGTACTGGCTCTCGAGGGTGGGTCCCCCAACACGGTGGGTTTGGCATCCCTGAGTGTAGCCACCTGCAGATCTGTCCTGGAGAAGGCCCCCAGGTCACGGTGGGGGGGCTGCCCCTCCCCCATCCCCACATGCCCCACTGCAGGATGGCACCTCCCCCCAGCCCTGCCTCTTTTCTTTGTCTCAGGGTTTACCTCTGCACCCAGGATTGAGGAGCCAACCACAGTTTTGTGGGGGCAGAGTCAGGAGAGCTCAGAGGGGGAGAAAAAGGGGGCTAGGGTGGCACCCAGATGCTGGCCCTGGTTTGGGGGCCATTGGGGACCCACCACAGATGGTCAGTGCTGTTCAGGGGCATGCAGGGGGTTGTCCTGGTGCCGGCTGGGCCCAGGAGGTTCGGGGATGGGACTCAGAGCTTCTCTAAGCAGAGCCACCTGCCCACGTCCCACCGCTGTGGTCCCTGCCCTTCCAGGAGCACCGGCCTCTCCCAGGTGAACACCCTCCTGAGGGAACAGCTGGAGCACATGAAGAAGGCCAACGACAGGCTGGCCGACGAGCTGGCCCGGACGACGGGCAGCGTGCTCCACCTGCGGGGCGAGCTGGAGCTGAGGGAGGCTCAGCGCTGGACCGAGAGACAGGTGCTCCTGCCTCCACCCCCTGGCAGGGACATGGGCTCCAGGGCCTGTGGCTGCTGGTGGGGGGCGGCGGGGACTGGGACAGGGACAGGGGAAGCTGGCCTCAGCTGTGCTTCCTCCCGGGGCAAGGCACTGGCCATACTACT